CAATTTTTCTTTATTATTTTTCAGTTTTTGTAGTGACAACATGAAAGGTTTTCTTATATTAGCTATCCTAAAAGATGAATGAGAGATTACCTGAGATTGATAATGGAATTGATAATTGATAATGATAACAAATATGCCTATCCCATTATGAGGGCTCATCTTTATTACTGTGATGTTATTATAACACAATAGGGATTAAAACTTCCATATAAGAATGTCAGGAGAAGAAAACAAACATTCAGATTATAACACATGGCGTCATACTTCATCTCCCATGGTTTTCAATATTAATCTGAGGGAAACTGATTATTTTGAGCAAGTATGGCATAACTGATCTGCAAGACAATTCTCTCTCATTCTGTGCAACAAGAAATTGTCTTAATTATAATCAGCTATGTATTAAAATAAAGTTTAGGATACTGCAAACATTCAATGTGAGCGCTTTCTTCATAGGGCCCACTCAGGTCAGATTGCCAAATATAAGACTAAAGTTTCCATCCTGTCCCCAAAGGAGAAGAAATGTTATTTACACTATATGTATAAAATATTTTTAAGTGTTTGCTTTTCTCTTCAGATAGTCATGGATTTTATTTGTCATTCCTATTATGCTGTGGTGACAATTCTAAAAATCTCACTGGTTGGATATCTTTGTCCAAGGCAGATTAGATGAGGACTTTGCTCTGCATTGTATTTTGGAGGCCAGGCTCATACACCATACAGCAATGATCTAGAAGCTTCCAAACACTATGGAATCAAGAAAGAATTCACAAGTGTCTTACTCTGATGATAAAACACCAGGCCCATCTATGACCCATGTGGTTTCTCTTTGTGATTCTAAGGGCCTGAACTACTGTGCAGATTTATTTAATTAAACTGAAGAAAAAGGAAGTTAGGAAAGAAAACCTAAGAAGACAGACAGAGATCAGAAATATTGAGCAAAAAGAGTGATTTTTGTACTTACACATACTACAACCTCACTACTTAAATGTAATTATTATTGATTAAATATCACCTTTATTAGTGATATATTTGAAACATGCTTATCACTAAAAAGTAGTAAGAACAAATCACATTTCATGGCCCAAAGTTAAAAAGAAAGCTATCTTAAGGGCCACATCCTGCTAGAATGCCTTAGCAATTTTCTGTCACCTTCCAAGTCTTCTACTGATTCCCAGCTTATATTAAAATTTTTATTTTGTGAAGAAAAACTGATGTTAGTTTCAAAAACACTTCAGCAAGATTGATCAGTTATTGGCGAGCAGCCTACCCTACTGGGAAACAAAGGCCTGGAGAAGGGACTAACAAATGATAAATATCGTTATCACTATCATAAACTGAGATAAGTTGAGCATCAGAAAAAAAAAAAAAAAGATGTTTCATCCAGGAGTTGTTGAAAGTTAGCCATTTTATGTCAGGTATTCTGCCAAAATGTCTTTTGTCTGCTTCTACTAAATAATATATAACCAATAAATTAAGAAACAGACTGAAGTCTCAAATACTAAATAATTCCTCTAGTCCATTAAGGATATAAAGAGCAAAAGGATTTTAGGGATGTTTTAAAATATACAGTAATGTCTGAAATTCTGACTCTTAGCTGCACAGGAGCAACAGCTAACATCATTTCACTGGATGTCTTATATTTAACTTGTCATTTTCTCTAGGATGATAATGTTTTGAAAATCAAAGTGTGAAGCTTTATATGGATGTTGCTTTTAATATGCCCTTATCTGTTTCACACTGGTTTTACATAAAAGGTAGATGGTAAATTCCAGAAGTATCCAATGAAATAATGTTTTGCATAAATATTTAAAACTTTTCTATTTTTAAACTATTTGGAGGTCAAAATGAAAGAAAATACTTTTCCTTTTTTGGTGTTTTGTATTAGCTAAATAAGATAAAAGTATAAAGAGAAATTTATAATATTTTGAAATGTCTCACTTAACTTTTTTATCATTATACAAAAATATTGATAGCTGGTCATTATCAGTCAGATGCCCACTGCTGAGACATAACTACAGGATGAAAGGTCTGACAGCAATTCGGTCACAGTTTCGGGGCCTCAGTACACGGTTGGCTGCTCCACAGCAGCAGCAACGTGGTGGATGGGCCTGGCAGAACAAAGCTGCTTATATCATGAGCGTGGAGTTGGAAACCAGAGAGCGGAGCAACAGCAGAGAGCAAGGGGTAGGTAGGGACCAGTGACAATGCCCTAAGTCCTTCCTCTGAGACCGTCCCAGATGTGCCAAGAAGTCTGTTCTACCAATCTTCTGGGTCACTCCCAAGCCAGTCAAACTGACACAATCAAGCTTAATCATCAAATTAATATTTCTTGGCCTTATGTTGTGTGTCAAGAACCATTGTTATAACAAATTGACATGTACTCAGTTATTGTGCTCCTAGAATAATCCAATGGTATATATATTATTACTGCCAGTATTTCACAAAGGAAGACATTAAGACACAGTCTGATATATAAACTTTTATATTAATATTCTTCTGAGAATATAAACATTGGAACCAAAAAAGTATGATGTCAATCTTGCTTCACTCTTTAGTGGCACCACTTTTGAAAGTTCCCTGGAACTCTGTAACCATCAGCATCATTTTTTTATTATTAATTTTATTGAGAAATAAATAGTAATGAGACAGTTTCAAAACCAATTAGTAGGACAGTTTCATTAATTCATTGCATATTGTTGTCTTCTTAGTGGTTATTCATAGTACAAGATGCAGACATGATATCCTGTCCAAACACTATTAGTACGAATCTTTCTTCTCATTGAATTAAGAGAAAGTAGCTGTGTATCTATTCTAACTATTTTGCATATACAAAGTGGTTCTTCACTTGTTTCTCTTTTTTTTTTTTTTTTTTTTTTGTTTTGTCAGAGAACAGTATTCCATTCCCATTTAAATACTGTAGGTGTGTGAATTCAGAAAAATAATCCAATATAGTCCAATAGCCCATAACAGTAGTGGGTTATCTGTAGGAATAGCAATGTTAGAAGTTGTTGACTTGAGCCTTTTAACAGCTCAGCATATTAATATGACTTTACTCTTTATAGCTCATTTTTATACTTTTCTGCTGGATGTTTAAGACCAAGATAAAGCAAGACTTATATAACAAGAAATGTAACTTTTGTATCTGCCAAGGTCAGTCAAATCCCCTCAGGATTTATCATGTAACCCTGTACCAAAGTTTGCAGATCCTTTGTCAGTGTCAGCCATGTGGATGAGTCACGGCCATTGCTTGCCCATTGTGCTCTCTGTGAAAGCCTGAGAGAATGTTTTCTCTCCATGTGACTTTCCTTAGGCACACTCTATATCATCAATCATGTTTCTCATTGGCCCCATAATCTCCTTGATCAGTAAATTTGGGACACAACTGAGTTACAGGATGTGTAACCATCAATGTCTACACTCAAAAAGTTTATAAGCTTTTGGTGAGAAAAAGCAAAAATAGAAATATAAATTGCTTGGCACACGTTCTTTCTACAGTTTCAAAAAATTATCAGCTAATATCACTCTTGCTATTATTATTATCATTAGATACAAAGGAAAGCACTTAACACTATTTCAATACTATAGTAGGTACTTATTAAATATTAATTTCCTATCTTCAAAAGTCTTCATAAGCTGAACAGATTAAAAAGGAAGAAAAATACCACATATGTGAATACTACACAGCTGGGATATAATCCTAGGGGACTTTGAGAAATGTCTGTGAATGACCTTGAAATGAAAATTCAGGCATTATTTTTATCCTATTTCTAAATATATCTGTGTCATAATCTCTTATTAGCCCACTCATCGTCAGAGAGGCTGGGGTTCACTTAACAGACACTAGACACATTTTTCAGTATATCAGCTTTTGAATCCTGGCAATGAAACCATTCAGTGACTATTCACAGTTCTTCCAGAGTGGAATTTAATAAAAGAGCAGCGGATGGTAGAAGGGGTGTGTGTCAGGGTATGAAAGATGTGACAGCTCTGATATATTTCTTTCCCCTTTTCAACAGCAAAGTCACAAATCTCTTTTAAATTACTGAGAAAATTACAACTGAATGTTAGCACTCTTTAAATCCAAGCATCACTGATGACTATTGAAATGAAGATGGTGCCAGAGTATATTTGAGATTCAGTCCTCTAAAGAAAAGTTTTCTGGGAACAAAAAGTAGCTCTTGTATGGTTTGATTAAGGATACCGGTCTGCAAAATTCAATGATGAATCCACACTGTAGCTCAAATCAATGTAATTGATCTGTGTGTATCATTATCCTATCTGTTATGTTTATGTTTTCAATCGTCAAAAGCAGAATTTGCTGATGAAGTGCTCTGTTAAGCAGTTAGAATTTGCAAGTCCAATCATTAGTCAGTATCATACAGTGCTGGCCAACAACATGGCTGTTCAAAACTTAAAAGTAACAGGTTAAGGAGGGGATCTGTGGACATAATAGCTCAACAAATCCAAGGGGCTAACACTGAGGTATTGCTAACTCAAAAAGCCATGTAAGTCTCCAAAGTTATAAAGTAAAAGCTCCAAAGGTTTACTGAAGTGGATTTGGCCCTATTATGGCATCCTTGCAAGTTGAAAAGTGGTATTACAAGATTCTGAATTAGCTAAGATTTTAAGCTAATGTTGATAGTATGTATGATCTTGCTAACTTTTTTTTTTTTTTTTTTTTGGTGGCTGGCTCAGTCTGCCCTGGGGGCATGACTGGCATGGCAGGTGATGCCAGGGATTGAACCTAAGCCAGCGCATTAGTCCACTGAGCTATCTTGCTGGCCCTAAGCTTGCTAACTTCTAAAGAAAATTAGCCACATGTGTTAAGTTCCTTTTATATTTTTTCAAGCTTTAATTAATTTCATGCTTAATTAGATTTTCATGCTTTTAATTAGATTTTTACAAAGTGTAAAATTTAATAATGAAATTTAATTATTCTGATACTAACAGATTTGAAATAAAATATTTTATCTGTATATTGGATTTAAAAATTTGTTTGTTATGAATTCATCAATGGAGAGGGGGAAAGGAGACAACATGTATCAGATATTATGGATGATAAGCATTTGATTTCTTAAAACGACAAGTGACAACTTTGTATTAGTTGGCAAATGGCGATTACCAGGAATGTTATATTTCCTAGTACTGCTAAACTTTGTTTCACTGGATGGGCTAAGTCAATGGAGGCAACAAATAAAATGAAGAATTTTATTTCCAGAAATGCCACTTAGGAGTAAATGAACAAATGAGAGGTGATCTTCCACCCTGTTTCTCACTTCCCATGTAAAATATCCTGAGAGGCAGATCTGTGATGAGAAATCTACTCTTTCAATAAGAAAAATTAGGTTTCGACAATATGCAAAAACATGATTGTCACATTCTGATTATGAAATAACTACAAGGTAACCCTATGCTTTTTAAAACATGGGTTAAAAAGTGAACTGCAGCCCAGCAGCAGATCCAGCATCCAAGAACAGCTCAGTGCAGCAAAGCAATCACCAGCCATGTTCACCACGATGTGTAGGTCTGTGCACTGAGGCAACCCCACATTGGAACTAAGGCTGTAATACTGGAGGTACGACAGGGGGCACCGCCATCCGCTTCCTGTCTCATTGCCTGAACAGACCCTCTTTTTAAGATTCATTATGTTCAATACTTGATCAGATGTGGTTCAAATAATTTTTTTTTATCTTGTTCTCAGTCCTTCTCCATTATTTTGGAACTTCCTGCAAAGAACAAAAAAAAATATTATAAACATCTTGGTATTGAGAAAAATATGGACAAATAAGCAAGGGTCTACTGGCATAAGCCATTTGTCAGTTAATGCATTAAGTAACTTTAAAGTTTTTTTAAAAAAAACATTTATTTATTTAGTTAGTTAGCATCCAGTCTCGCTACACAGCTCAAACGTGAAGTGATCCTCCGGTTTAAGCCTCCCCAGCACTGGAATTACAGGTGTGCGCTACCATGCCTGGCTGCAGTGGCTGACGTGGCTCCTGGAGCTGGCATGGCATGTGGTACCAAGGATTGAACTCAAGTCTTTGCACTTGCTAGGCAGGCATTGAGCTATCTCCCCAGCCCACATTAAGTAACTTTTGATTAATAATTATTTATAAAATAGCATGCTACATTCTTAGACATATTTGTATTACCTTCTCAGGTAATACAGTATTTTTTAGCCTTTAGTTTGTCTATTACAGGAACTTTTGGATTGTTTCTGAATGCCTAGATTTCTTCCTTCTTTTGTGATTCCTGAGCAGAATTGAGCATATCTTGATTCTCTTTGGTGCCATCAGTTTGATCTTCTTATTTCTTTGGGTGCACATCACTGACATACAGTGCTTGACAAGAAAGAAGAATGCACAAGTGTTTCCTGAGAAGCCATTCATATGCAGCATGTTAGGTTTTTCTCTTTTCTTTCTTTTTGGCATTTCCCAACTCAACTAATTACATTGTCACTTAATGTAAACTTTAAAAGAGAAAGTCTTCAGTAAAAACAACAACAAAAAACACTTGAAGTTCTACCTAACTTCATAGATATTTCTGTCACCTCTAAATAGAAATTTGTATTTGTGCTTTAAGATAGCTGCATATCTTCACATAGCTACATACTCTCTCCCTCCCTCTCCTTGCTAAAACTCATACCCTCCACATACCTGTTTATTTCTAATGACTTTATTTTCTACAATGCAGGAGTTTTACTAATCCTGGCAACATTCATGGTTAGTGCAGTATTCATTGTCCTAACCTCAGTTTTCTGCTATCAGTGGAGAATTTGGCATGTTATAAATCCATTGACTATGTCTAGAGGATTTTTCTCTCTTTTTCAGGCTGTCAGTGATGCATAAATTTTGCCAAACATAAAAATAAAATGGTCAGTTAAAATGAATAGAAAATGTGGTAAGAAGCACATACTGTCTGTATATATTAATAAGCAAATGTTCTTCCTGTCCTTTCTTCTCACTCCATAGATTATGCTGGCTTTGAACTTAAAATTCTCCTGCATTAGCCTCCTGAGTGCTATAATTACAAGGATATATATACTACCATGCCTGGTTTGAAAATACTATATTTCATCAACCTGGGATATCCCTGATTATAAGGGACACCATTATATATGTTACTATGAAAGAAACTGTAATTTCAACTAAGAATAGCATATCAATTGTACATTTCTTATTCACAGATGAAAAATGTAGATGAAAGGCACCATAGAATTCAGGAAATGTAGTTAACTATTACAAGTTGATGTAGTTTTCCCTCATATTTCTTCTACTCTAATTATAAGCTCATTTTATTTACTTAGTTCAGTTCTTTTACTACTTTTAATCAAATGTATATGCAAAAAATTTGCTAATTCTCCCTTGAATTTAGTTTGCAATTTAAGGCCCTGTGTTTGGGTTCCTGCCAATATATATCATGGAATTTGGCACTGTTTACTACTGTAGAGTTAATTTCATTTAATCTGCTTTCAGTTGGCCAGTAACACAAAATCATAGAATCATCACTGTTATCCCCAGATTAAGAGGATTATTCCAAAACTACTATCCATGTAAAGATTAAAATCATTTAAATTAATTTTACAAAACTGAAAGGTTAGTCTTTACTGTCATCATTCTTTCTGATGACGAACTCTTTTAGGAGTAAAAACATAAACTTTAGAGGACAGCACATTATTCTAGGTTGAGCTCACAACTTTTATCAATAGCAGCACATTCTTTTTTTCATATCCTCAGGGATGGCAGTGGAGCAATCAGGATATCTGACAATATACTCTGTCCAACTGGTCAAAGACAGTTAAATGACATTCTACCCCCAGAAATAAATGAATGCATGTATTGGTCTTTTTTGGAACTCACTAAATGAGGGACTGAGGAGGATCAGTTTTGGCAGTGGTTTACAAGTAAAAATCACTTGGAAAAACTGGGAATGGAGGTAATGAAATTTGACATTTCAAATGTCAAACATTTGAAAAGTTTGACAACAGAAGTTTATATGCATGTCAAAAGGAGCCAGGCGTGGGTCAGAATGTGCTAATCAAGCTTTATTTGAAAGCAAGTGATAAAGATTCAGTTCAAAGTAGTCTAATAGAGGAAATGTCTGACAACAGTAACAAGCAATCTCAATGAACCCAAGTGTAGGAGGTCAGTTTTCCAGAATTCAATTCACGAACTTCTCAAATGTGTTTATTGTACAGATCTATTCAGCCCTCTCTAGAGCCCGCCTTCTTTTCAACCATAAAAAACTGTACTGCTATCACTGCCTAGTTTTGTTCCAATAAGATTGTATTCCTATCACACCTGTGGGTAGTGCATATTATAGGTCACAGATAATCAATTTTAAATTTCCCTTCTTGACTTCTCTATAAGTTATAATTCTCTTTGAAATTGCTGTTTTCTTCATGCCTGAAAATGTTGGTTTTCATCAACCATTATAATTACCTCTTGGTTTTATGGGCTCTTGCTTGCGTCTGGCCTCAAAGATGGCTTTGTCTCAGATCTTCAAACTTGAGTTCAAATTTATGGATAGCACTCCTGCCTGCTGTAGGAATAAGATCTTTGAAAGAAATTCACTTGGCCAAGATTTTGATGCAACATACTTTTGTTTGCATTCCAGGCACAGCCCAGGGCAGTCGTGGCAAACCTGCGGCATGCTTGATGTTTTTAAGACAAAGCACGTTGATGTATGAGTCATGTCTTTCTAAACTAAAATCTCTGTATTCAAGATGCTGTGTCAGCACTTACGCATTTTGGGTGGCAAAAAAGTATCTTTTAAAGTACAGCAATCTTCAACTTTATCAAGCTAAATTTATAAATATACTTTTATGTACCATGCTTTTGGTTTTAAAGAACTCTCCCCCTAATCTTATAAATATTCCAGCTTTTTAAAAAGTGTGGGTTGGAGGTGTGGCTCAGTAGTACAGCCCTTGTCTTGCATTCACAAGGCTGTGGGTTTGATCCCAGCACTACAAAACTAAATAAATAAACAAGGTTTTAGAATAACATTTCTTTTGTATCTTTTTAATAAAGTGAATTTATAATAGGCCACACTATGTTGGGTTGTCTTGTTCAATCCAATTGGAAAAATTAATGTCTTTTAAAGGATATTTTGGAATTACTGTATTAATATAATTATTTTTATAGATATATCTATCATCTTCTACTTGCTTTCTTCATGTGGTCACCTTTTTATTCCACTTTTCCCCTTTTCTTCCTTCTATTTTATAAATGATTGTTATAATTTTAGTCAATTATTTTTTGAAAAAGTCTAAACTACAAGAAAAAAAGCATTAGTTCACTCATGTATTTAGCTTTTTGATGTTGCTCATTCCTTTAGATGCATCAAATATATCACATTTCATTCACGTGACAAGTTTCCTTTAAAAGTTTTCATATTGTACTTTCCTCTCAGTGAATTACTTGGACTTCTGTGTATCTGCACGCATTTCACTGGCTATTGAATCTTTTCTTTCACACCTTTAAAGATGTTGCTTTACTGTCATGAGATTTTTTTTCTATGAGAAATCTTTTTTCCTCATCTGCCTCCACATGATGTCTTTTGCCTTTAAGATTTTCCTTTGTGACATTTTTAGTAACTTCATTAAGAAGTACGTAGTGTAATTTTCTTAAGGGATTTTGTGATTAAGGCTCTTTTAGCTTCTTGGAAGGTATTTACTTTCTTTAAATGTAGAAAAATTTGGGCTATAATTTTTCAATTTTTTAAATGTGTTCTATTTTCCCTCCCTTAGAAATCCAATTGTGCATATGCATGTACACACACACACACACACACACACACACACACACACAGTTTCCTGAGTTGCTTGAGGTTGCCACACAACTCCCTGAGGTTCTTTACACCTTTTTATTAAAATCTTCTTTTTAAATTTTGGATTATTACTGTTGCCATTTCTTTAGTAAATTTTCACTTTAGACTCTGTAACTTTCATCTGGAGAATTTAGGTACTTTTGTTTTTACATGGTCAATATTTCTACATTTTGAAACCAGGAATCCAGGTATAATAACTGCCTTGATGTGACCGGTTCAGCTCATTCTTACATGTGCATCATTTTTAAAGGCAGTTTTGATTATTCTCCTCCTCTGTGTCTTCCTGTTTCACTGTAGGAGTGAATGCCAGGCCTTATTGATTTTACTGTTTGCATTAATGTTTTCATAGTCCTATAAATACTCTTAGGTTTTGTTCTTGTGTGCAGTGCTCCTATTTGGAAACAGATAGCTGCAATGATGGCAAACCTTTTAGAGCTTTTAACAGCCTCCTTGAGCTCCTATGACATCATTTTGTCACCACTAATTTAGGGTTCTACTTTATGTGGTTCTAGAAGAGTATTTAATCTACAGTTAATTATTCTTAACTACTGAGGCAAGACTTTCCTGAGTTCTATGTACTTCTACATGAATCAGCAGGGTTTTCTTTTATATTCTGTCTGTAAGGAATAGCTACTTTTCCTGGCCTTCTGGGAATGTGTTATGTACTACTTCCTTTTATTCTGTAGGACAGTTCTTTCCTTGCTCCTGGAAGTCTCTTTAAATTCATACACCCAGGAGTAGTGTGTTGAATAATCAGCAGGAGACCTTTAGCATGACCTTCCGATAATTTCTCTGGGTACTTCTCTGGAGGAAACTGTCGGTCTCACTTTGATTGGTTCTATCCCAGAAGAAAGGGCAGCAAGAATGAGAAAAGACAGACCAGAAGACAAAAGCTGGGCTAGGTGATCACTGGTCTGTCTGATAGGCCAGACTAGTGCAGTCACACAACAAAATGTTACTTTATTTATACTTTTGCAAAATTAGTAACATGTGACACAAGGTTGCTCAGGGACTAATCTCAGGAGTGAGGTAGCTCGTTTGCTTTAGGCACTAAGGCCTAGTCCCACCTACACACACATGATCAGTTTCCTAGCTTCCTGTCTCCCAACGCTACTCTCTGTTCTTTTATTCTGGGTTAGGAGCCCAGCGCTGTACTTTCTAGCATCCATCTCCTTGGGAACCTTCCCAATTGTTTCCCCGAACTATGGCTTGAAACTTCTCTTACAGTAGTAAGTTATTTATAGGACTTGCCTCATTGGTTTTCTATCTCTGAGGGACCCATATCTTTGACTGCTGATACCAAGTAACATATTTGCTGCTTTTGTTATTGTTTCACGTAGGGGGGTAAAACCTTTTCATGTCATGCTATCTGGGTTGGCAAATAAATCACAGCTGATCTGGGCAATGACCTTCCTTGACCCTAGGAAGGTCAAGAAATGCTAAATATAGTTATGTAGAAAATCCAATGTTATAAAATATTAAATTCAATTTTTTCCTACACACATGTATTATATA